GGACCGCGGGGACGGCTCGCATGGGGATGGCCTGCAGGGCGCGGAAGCCGTGCAGGAGCACGCGGAGGGCGTCGAGGCCGCGGATGCGCACGGGGACAGCACAGAGGCCGCGGATGTGCACGCGGATGGCACGGAGGGCGCAGAGGGTGCGGATGGAACGGACGCTGCCGCTGACGGGGCCTACGCAGGCTATGGCGAGACCAAGCCAAGGAAGCCACGGCAGGTGCGCAGTCAGCTCATGGGTGTGTGTGTGTGTGTGCTTGAGGGGGGAAAAAACTGCGGCATTCTGCAAAATCATGGAAATTAGGGTGTTTGGTCCGACGGATGGTTCGTTCAGTCCACACGGCCGATCCATGTGACCTCCAAGCTCCGATCAAAGCTTCGGCGGGATCTGGAGGTTTCTTGCGGTCGGCTTTTGGGAATGGCAGGCTGGGGTCATGATTTTGCCCGTGGGTTGTCAAAGTCAGACAATGGGGTACTTTGGTGGCCGTAAAATCATGAGGCCAGGGGCTTTGAATTCCAGAAGTGATAGGGCACCTGTCCCGCTAGGCAACTGTTAAAGTAGGCCAAGTGATTCTTGCAGGTATGCAAAAGTCCCAAACCTGCTTTGGATTGGCCATGTATGGAGTTGGTTGTCTTTTCGGTTGAGAAAGCCCAGGAGTTTTCAAGGCCCAGTTCAGTTTAGGTCTTCTTTGAGAATAAGCTGATACTTGTCCCTTTGTTTCAAGCCTTGTTAAGTTCAAGCCTTCTCTGCGAGTTTGAACCTTTTTGTTCCCCCCCTTTTGTTTCCTCCCAAAAGAGAGGTATTTTTGTTGGTGACCACCCGGACAGAGACCTTCAGCAAAAGAGAGGGATGGAGGTCTTCCGGTTCCAAAACGAAAAACGAGACGTAGCGATGTTCGGAGGTCTACATGGACCTGGGCACCAACTGGGCCAACACCCTGCGCCTCTACCGGGACATGACGCGCCGGCCCGGAGCCTGGGAGGCACCAGTCGTGGGGACTCAGCTCATAAAGCCGCGGGCTTCGGGTTTCAACCAAAAAAACGTTTTCCCCAAAAGAGTGCACCGAGCTGGCAGTGCTGGTTTCCGCTACAGGAGACTTCTCGCGGGAAAGAAACACATACTCATTTCCAAAGTTTAAACTTCACTGTTCTTCGCATGTTTTTTGTTTTTTTTTTTAGTTTTTTGCTTCTGTTCATTGTTACTGGGGGTCTGCAAAAAACAGTCAGTTTTTCGCTACCATACCAAGAGTAGAGATGAAAAGAGTGATTCCAAGGGCCCCTGGAAAGAGGAGGGCGACAGTGACGGGAACTCTCCTCTCGCTGTCCGGATTCATCCGGTGGATGCACGCACAAGTTTTTGGTGGGATGGGTTCACCAAAAACAAGCCAACATTAGAAGAGCTCAACCAACAGGGAGTACCTTTGTGTTATCATTATGTTTTGGGGGGAACCTCTTGGGGGACCCCCTCTTTCTGTGATCTCTTTTGAACCTTTGCAATTCAAGTTTCACTACACGAGCTGGTTAGCTGGTTGGAAGGGAGTCCAAATTCCTTTTTCAAGAGGCGAAGGAGAGAGCGGGTGACTCACTCGTGCGGTTTGAGGTGAGCCCAAAGAACCGAAACGCCGAAAGGAAATTGGAGACCAAACGGGCAACCCGTTTAAAGGGCCAGAGGAAGGTGTTTTGTTTCGAAGAAATGGCGGCTGACTTGCGTCATGGAATCTAACATACTGCTTTAAGGGAGTACCTGACAAACTTCAGAGGAGTACATGTTGCCCATTTCGAACGTCAGTTCGTGTTTGCGAGCAGAATGGGGACCCAACAAAAGGTACCTGTTTGAAAAGGTCAACCAACTTTGAACCTTTGCGTGCACTGCGTTCCTGTGGACATCTACTGGAGCTCTGAGTTTACTTGCAGTCGGACCCCCCAAAAAAAAGAACCTCACACACACACAGCCAAGACCTCCAAGACCCCCAAACAATCCTTGGTGGCTTCCAGCCATCCCCTTAGCTTTTTAATGTTTAGTGGGTTTTCCATTTGGCCCACTGAAAGGTCAACTTTTAGTCGGGGATCTGAGCACAGCTCAGAAACCAGGCGGAAGTGATCCAACTCATCAAGTGCAGAGCTTCCTTGCCTACGTGTTCATTTTGCCCGCGGTGTGGTTTCAGCGCCTCGAACTTCAGGCAACCTTAGTGGTTTGGATTTGAACCCGTTCTTGTGGACATGGAAAGCTGCCTCTTAAGCTCCAAACCACCAATCCACCATTTGGATCGAAGCTGACGGAGGTTTCCTTTGGTCTGAGACCTCACTTTTCGGTGCGTGTCTCCTATTCGGAGGATAAAAATATATCGGGAAGCGCAGGTCTACGGCTTTGAGGCGAATCCCTACATCCAGCCCTATGTGGACCACTTCGTGCGGTACCTCAACGGCGCAGGGCCCAAGCCCGTGCTCGCCCTGCCCCCCGCCGGGTCCAACAAGAAGCTCAGGCCAGCAGGGCAGGAAGCGCCTCGTGGTTCTCGGGCGTTGCTTAGGCACTCCTTAAAAGATCGATACATTTTGCCCATCCATTTGAGTTACATGTTGCTTTTTCCACACCAAAGTACAGTTGGAAACCACCATTTACCAGTTGCAATGTTCAGGTGTGTAATGTAAGGATCCCTGTTTTCTTCGGACGTTGCTTTGGGAAGGTTGAAAGGAAACCACACACTTCAGGGGTGGAGAAAAGCTCACATCTTGAGCAGTTCATAGTTGCTGTCGTCTACTGTAGTAGCAAAGGTAAGACGACATCGGGTACACTTACCGAATTTGCAATTGCGTTTTGGAGGTTACTCACCAAAGCCAATTTCATACGACACACTATGAATATTGACCGTGGCTCAAATATTATGCCATAGGCGAAAAACTAGGGATGGTATGATTTTTAGACAACGGCTTTTGGGTCATTCTTGGTGTTTTGGGTTAGATGTGTGGGTGCTTATCTTCAAATTAGGTAATTCCCTGCATGTGCTTTGTTTCGGGTTGTTTCTATCCAAAGAAGGGGTTTCCCTTTTATGAGACAGCATCGTTTTGGAGCCATCTCGAAATGAGTTTTTCCAAAGGGGACATGCACCGACAAGGAGAGTCCGAAAAGGCTGTGTTGAGGAGACCTGGACTCGTTTCTTCGCATATTGTTGCATGCCCTTCGTTGGCTTACCCCACCCGAACCTTGGAGAGAAAAGATAAGCTCAGGTGATATCCCCAACAGCATGCGGTGCTCTTTTTAGTGCTCGCACCACCCCGCAGCCCCTCGCAGAACCTCGTGGAACCCTGGGTGGAACCCTCGTGGAACCTTACCTCAGGCCCTGGACCCCGGAGCCTGTCTGGGCTGAGACCCCAAAGCTTTCAGCTGGGAAAAAGAATCGGACCAAACCAAAGCCGTGGCTCAAGCCTTGGAGCTCAAGCCGAGTTGGTCCAAATGTCTTTCTTTCCTTTCTCTAGCGGTCGAGGAATCCTCTCATGCAAAAGGGAGCAAGCTCAACCTAACGCGCAGCGCCCCGTAATCAGCAACTTGGAGTTGGTAAGGAAGACACACAATTCGTGGGCCATTTCAAGGGGTCCGAACTGGGAGCCTTCAGAGCTGGGTTTGGCTATAGCCACTTGCCCCCGACCCGCCCAGGTTTCTGGATCGGGTTGGGTGGCGGAGGTCTTTGAACCAAAGTGAGCGCCCAAGCCCAATGTGTTTGGGATATGTGCTGTAATCGAAGGCACATTATCAAGCAGCGGTCCCAAGTGTTTGTGTGAGTGAGGGGGTCCTCTGAATGAATCCTCGAGTCAATTTGGAGCGCGTTTCTGGGCCCAAAGCGGCAAGCATGAGTGTGTCTTTTTAAGGGGCTCCCAGAGAACGGAACCCCTCATGACCTTTTTGCGACCCACCGACGATCCAACCGGGCCTCCGTCGTTGGCATTTGTTTTCCTCGTCGCAGGACCTATGGGGAGATCTTTGGGTGCCGGGGTGACCGCGTCAAGGAGTGCATGATGGAGAAGTTCAAAACGAGCGCCCAAGCCGAACTCCAACTGGGTCCCCCAGCTAGGTGCAACCTTTCTCACCCTTTTTTTTGGGGGGAGGGTTCCCCTACTAAGATAGTCAACAGAAAAAACAATCGGGTACCCTTATTCTAACCTCTCTACTGGAGGACCTAGTTAAAGAACCTAGCAAAAGAGAAGCGGGGTGGCTATTGGAGAAGCAAATGAAAAAAGAAATGCAGAGCTAGAAAAAGAGGGCAGTGTCCCAGATCTCTTTTGGCAGCTGCTTGCACCTCCGTCGAATTGGTGCCCTGGGTAGTTCGGGGTGAAACTGTCACAAGTACTACTAGTTTACTCCTAAAGTGTGGCTTTGAAGTAGCCCAAAACCCCATTGGCAGGCTTTTTCTAATTGGGTATGTCAAAATAGGGCAACCTTCCTAATTGGCTGTTTTCCTTTTGGTTTCCCACTGAGACTCAAGTCGTCCCTTGGCCACCGCCTGGGTCAGGGCTTGGTGGGAAGTGTGGGGAACTGATGTTTGAAGGTGCAATATGGGTTGGCCTCGATTTGTGGAAGCTGAGAGAAGTAGTGTGTGGTGTTCTTTTTGGTTCCCTTTTCCGCAACCCCGGACGTACCAACTCCCGAACAACATACACATGTTTCCCGCAAAGAAGTTGCCTCGGATGCTTTTCTTAAGCTTGGCCCTCGCAGAAACCCATGGTTTTTGCGGGGCCCCATGGCTTCCATACCCAACCCGACCTCCCGAATGAGCATCGTCAATCGCAGGGTTCCCTTACCTTGCCAAGGAAGTGGTTCGCTGCAAACGTGGCTCAAAGCCAGGCGTTGAAAGGGGGGTTCTCACAATGGACCTCCAGGGATCACGGGAAAGGCAAAACAACACCATTTCGACCCCCCCCCCCCCCGAGTTGTTTTCTTGAGAGGCCGTTTTGGTGAACTGAGCTTTAGCGCACAACGCTTCCAACATGGTCGCTTCCTTCTGGTGTTCTTGTAAGCCAACCGTTTCACAGGGCCCAAGTCCTTTCGGTTTCGCCTCCCGCTTCGCCGCGTCCCCGAGGCCTCGAGCAGCTCTACGTGAACGCCTCCCTGCAGAGCCCCCAGCTCATCGCGCAACGCCTCGGCGAGGCGATCCCGGCGATCCCGGCGATCCCGGCGATCCCCGAGTTCTCGAGCCCCGAGCTCCGAGCCGAAGGGGCCGTCTTGAAGTGGGCCCCGAAGAACTGGTGGTCCTAGCACCATATGCTGGTCCTATTCTGGTTTCCCTAAGGCCACAAACAAAATGTTGCTCCCCTGAAAACGAAAAGTCGTGGACGTAAATCCCCGAAGTCTGTGCACCAACGGGTGCTTCGTGAAAAGTCATGCCCAAACACCCTTGTCTTGAGAATACTCGTTCAGCTCCCAAATGGGGCGTTTGGATTTGTGCTTTTGGGGTTTGAGGCTCGTGTAAATGGGGCTTCCCACCCCCCAAACCTCCAGGCCGCCAAAGTAAACCACCAGTTGAAGGGATCCCTACCCTGGGATGGTTCCACTTTCCCCTTTATGGGGAAGACTAAATAAACGGATGAGAGAACCCCCCTCTTCAGGCAGGGGATAAACCAGCCACCATTCTGAGACAAACCCAGGGTTCGGGGGAAAATCGTCTCTCCATTTCTCTTGGGTGAACTCAATTGTGCAATGTCCCCTGGGAGCAAACAGGCGATTTTGAAGATGGCTCAAAAGGGCGTAGGGTGGTTTAGGCGGTTTAGGTGGTTTAGGTGGTTCTTGCTTATTGGTTTCCACCTGGGTTTGAACTTGTTTTGGGTGGCTCAAACATCGGCTTTGCCGGCTTTGTGGAATTGTTGGCAGTGTGGGTTTCCTTTTTGTTCGGTCTTTGACTCCTTTCTTTTCCCGGGGGGGGGGGGGGGGTGATCCCCAGGTGCTTGTTTTTCTGTTGGCTTTTTTGAGATAGGCCAATATGTTGCTGCCCATGGCTTTCTCTCGAGGGGAACCTCCCAAACCGGGTCCCTGGAACTTGGAAAGGACATGCATAGCCTGGGTGCATAATTTGGCTGGGGCGGGAAAGGCAAACCGAGCTTTCCGTCAATTGAAAGACTGGGTCCGCAACATCCTCTTTGCCGCTTTCCCCTTCAAAACACGGCAAAGAGAACAACTTTGGGGAAATGGAAAGGGAACGAATGTCGCAATCAAGAAATCGAATGCATCCGATTTACGTTGGACGCAGAAGGTTTGGCCCTCTCACGCCTTTCGACTCCGCGCCTCAAACTTTTGATAGATTTCCCCAACTTGGAAGGTTTACGCATCACAAGGTCCCTTTCAAAGCGCTTCCTTTGAAGCACCTCAGAAAGTTGGTGCACATTCCCCATCTCCAAAGGGTGCCACTTCACCATGCCAAAGTGATTCCCTTCACCTCAGCCAAGCAACCAAAAAAAGGGAAAATGGCTCCAAGGGCTAGCACCGAGAAATCGCCTCTCCCATGTCCAGCTCCTCCCGAAGCTTCCGGTCGCCGATCGCCAGGCGGGGGAGCCCTACGCGCCGCCGCCGGCGCAGCTGGAGGCGGCGCGGTTCACCTTCGTGCCGGCGGCGGTGGGGGCCGCCAACTCCTCGCTGGAGGTGGACCTGGTGGCGGCGAAGGACCCAGTTGGGAGGTGGGGTGGTGGTGGTGGCGGTGGTGGTGGTGCGGTGGTGGGATGGGGTGGGGTGGGGGGGGGTGGGGTGGGGTGGTGGTGGGGGGGGGGTCGGGTTCTTATATGCTTGTTTTTGATTTTGTGGTGGGGTGGGGGGCTATATCAGGTTTCGGGTATGGATCAATGAGGACGAGTGGGTTTGGGGATCAAGTTGAGTGACTTACTGAATTTCAATTCCGAAGCGAAGCCAAGGGCCATGCAAGGGGATCCTGGCGTTTTGCCATCCGATGTATTTCTTTTTGGACATACGACAAGTCGTTGAAAAACCAGTGTCGGCAACCGATTTGGGGTGGTTTCAATGAAAGATCGAAGGGACAAGTCTTTGGGGATCTTTGCAGACAACCCACCGCTCGAACTTGAGGTTTGTTGGAACCCCAGACGGATGCGTTCTTGGCGGCCTTTGTTCCTTGTGTTTTGTGCGGCTTGGGGAGGGGAGATCTTAAAAGAGGCATAAACATGTTTGGCCAAAGCTTGTTGCCGAGTTTTTGAAGTCCGCCATGGGCTTGTTTTGGTGGAAAAGCCGAGGGATCGACGACCTCCAGTGGCCCGAACAGGACTAGATGAGGTGAACCAACCTGTTGATTTCTACCAACGAGACGACAGCGCCTAACCCTGGCCAAGGATGCAACAAGTTGCATGCCAAGGCTTTGTAATGCTTGGAGACAGAAGTTGGTCGCTGACCCAACATAGCAGGTGCTTGATTCAATCAATGTATTTGTCCCTCTCATGCGGTTCATTCGCCGCCCACTGGTGAGTGCTTGCTTTTTGCAACAGACCATTTGCTCATTGCTAGTCAATCGTATCAAGCAAGCTACAGGTTGGCACACGTTTAAAGGCCATCAACCAGCCATCTTGGGTCCCTCACCCTCAATGGTGTTGGCGCGGTTGTGGCTTCACTCGCCCAACGATAGCTTTCTTGCTTTCCTAAGTACTTCACCGTGAGACTTTCTCCCTTTAAGCTGCAGGGGTGCTTGTACATACCCCTTATACATACCCCTTGGACAAATAAACCCAAAAGGCCTGCTGCTGTTCATACCCCTCTCCCCAAAAGGGGTATATACCCCTTATAAAGTACAAGGGGTAGTACTCCCACCCTTAGATTAAACTGCAGTGGCATGCCAACTTTCCAGCAGGAACCTCGATTCGACACGGACCCTTTTTTTCCCTTGAGGACGCGCTGATGCGCGGGGGCGGGGTGAGAGCCTCCAAGACGCAGACGCAGCACGTCATGATCATCGACTTCCCCACGTGGCTTGAGCTGAACTTCGACGCGGAGGACTTTGTGGTGATCAAGATGGACGTGGAGGGGGCCGAGCACCAAATCCTTCCGAGGCGGTTTCAACCTGTCAGGTGTCAACCAAAAAAACAGAGTGAAAGGGGAGGGGGGGGGGGTTCGCAATGGAATGTGTGAGACTCCATTTGGATAGTGTGTATATAGAAATATGTATGTATATATGTATCCAAGCCTTGGAGGGCATTGAGTACCTCGGTGTGACACACCCCTTCACAAAAGACAACTCCATGTTATTGTTTGAGGATTCCCTTTCTGGATTGCTTTGAAAGGGAAACCAAAATCCATTCTGTGAGGTCCAAATCCATATTGTGCCGCCCACCCACCCCATACAGATACATGGTCCATTATCAACACACACCTGTGAGGCAGCCTCAACACAGCACACGAGACCACATGATGTACATATACATATACAATATGTGTACATATACAAACAGGTGGGTTTTTTTGGGGGGGGACCATATATATATATATACATATATATATATATAGATATATACATATATATATATACATCTATAAGCAGTGCCCGAGTCTCCGAGTCTTTATTGGGAGGCTCATGCAGCGGGGCAAGCTGGGCCTCATCGACATCCTCATGTTCGAGTGCCATCGGTTGGCGGGCACCGACTGCAAGAAGCTCTCGGCGGACATCAGGCGCGACGGGACGGCCAGCGACGCGCCACCGGCCAGCGGACTGGTCTGAGGGCCCCAAAATGGCGCCTCGAGGAAGTGGCGTCCGAAAAAGGAAATGCCTCCATCTGCTTAAGAATATTTTCCCCCCTGTTGGCTTTAAAGGGGATCTATCACTACTGGAAATATTTTTAGTTTTTCCAGGGGTCTTAACCAAATGGAAGAATGGACAAGGGGAACGTTTTTTGAGGGTACTGCTTCAAAGTAGTGGTTTCAAAGGAGAACTTAGAGGAGACTAGAACAAAAAAGATGCTACCTCTAAGAAGCACCCAAATGGGCAATTATCCTTTGGTGGGGAAAACCACCAAGCAAAAGGGGTCCCTCAGTTATGGAAATTTGTGGCTTGCCCCCCCTTTCCAAGAAAGGGCTTCTTGTTTCCATGGGTTTCCTCTTCCTACGACAATGGGAAAACCCCCCAAAAAACACACAGACGCGTGAAGGACGAATGGGAATTAACCCCCCAAACTCCAAGGGATCATATTCGCCTTTTTGGTTTTTGTTGGTTTCTTATTCATGACTTGGTTCACCCCATTTCGAGACTGTGCCAGACCTCTTTGTGGAATCCCAATTTGGGTTGGCTTTATAGGCCGAAAGGAAGTGGTTTCCGCATTTCGGCTCCGGGCCGCTCTCCTGATATTTGGGCTAGTTTCTACCTCATGACCACTGAGCTTGAGATCTTGAGGATGCGTAGAAACATAGGAATTTGATGGGGTGGGTCATATCCGACCTGTCATTCCCGTTTATTATGGCAGATGATGGGTGAGTTTGAGTGTTATCATGGTTTTCCCACTGGCTTGCCGCTCTTTCAAGTTGCACCATTGACTTCATCATGGTTGTCCAGCACAGTCCAAATCAAAAAAAAATGCCAGATGGTAAAATCTCTGTGGCCTCTTTCGTAAAGTGATGGGTGTGTCATGAAAGGACAACAGAGCGTCGCCATCCATCAAGCATCTCAACCAAAGAGAGTGAAACTGCAGCATCATGTCGCTGTCCGCCATGATGGTTAAAATAAAAACCGTTGCAGTGTGAAGCGCCAACCGGAGCCAGGTTGCACCATTGGTTCACACCGTTTGGTGTTCGCCTGTTCCTGTTCTTAGAGTCGCGCCCAGGGCCGACCTTTCAGGCTGTTTGCGTTCAACGTGTCAAACCTCAGAGCGCCACAAAATGAACGGGCATTCAACGCAGGCCTTGGTCTTGTCAGGTTGTTGTTGAATCCAAGCCGGGGCATCCTGCCAGAGAGGCTCGGCTCGTTGCCACTTTTCGCAAGGCGGCAGGATGTCTGAGGCATTTGGAACATCATCTCTGCTGCCTGCACCGCCAAATGCATCACAGCGCGAACCAAAACCAGTTGCAGCCGGTGATGTTCCCCCTCCCTCCCATGGCTAGTGGGAAGCCGCCGACTCTTGCGTGGAGCCGCGAGCCCAAGCCCGGTGTGCCCATTTGCCGCTCTCCAGGCAAACCTTAGGTGAAGAATAGACAAGTCATTGTAAAAGACTTCAGTCGTGTCACCTTCCTGCCACAGAAGTGGGAAGGGAGTTCACGAATTCGCAGGTCGGCTCATCCCAAGTTGAAGGTGATGCAGGAGGCGCACGGCTACAAGGCGCGGGATTTGGCCGAACCGAACCCGGAGGTGGGGATGGTGAAGAAAAAAACACCCGGAAAAGGCGACGCTTCCCTCTGGCCTTCCCTTTAGCAACCAAAAAGGGTACCATCTCAAGATACGACACCCATATAACGACTGAAAGGGAAGCCTGACGGGTTTCATGCGTACATGTGTGTCTAAAAATAGGGGGCCATTGGTTTGCTGCATTTGGGCTAGTCAAAGTTTCACCTGTACCAGCTGATTTGGAGGATCCCCTTGTCAAACAGATGGTTGGGAAGTATCCTTCCTTTCAGGAACCATGATAGCAAAAGCTTAAAAAAGTGGATCTGCGAATTGATTCATGTATGTTTCCGAGATTCGGGCAAAGGCTCGATGGCAATGCAGTCAGGTGTTGCGAATGGCCAATGGCAAGGGTGGGGGCAACACTCCAGTCATGGCTGGGGGCTGGCTTGCAAGACTCGTGGCTACAGCCCAGCTCTGGAATGGCGCAGCACGCCTGAGGACTTCCCTTTTGTGAAGATTCGTGGCGCATATTCCCGGGCTTGCGTCGGTCCAAAGGGATCACAAAAGGGAAAATGATGCTTCGCAGTTCCTCGAGATGACCTGTTGATGTTCCCCAAAGTGAATCTGTGACTGGACGCGGTATTTTTGACTGACTAGGTCCCCCAGCAGTGCCCTTTCTCACCCTTTTTTGGGGGAGGGTTCCCCTACTAAAAGAGACATTAAAAAAAAAAGAAGATCGGCGACCAACCTCTTCTAACCTCTCTGGACCCAGCTTTGTTGCAACGGGACCGGCCGGAAGTGGGCCGATCGCTAGGAGGTGGACTCCTTCTCCACGCCCGAGCGCTACCACCCGCCATTGCCCATTCGCTTCAAACGACCCCGGCAGCGCCGAAACGGGCGATAGGCCCGGAGATGAGGCGGCGTTGGATTTTTTGGCGCGCACGGCGTTTGGTTTCCCGTGTGTTGGTTGTGTGTGTGTGTGTGTGATTCTTTATTCTGAGTGTTAGTTGTTGTTTCTTTGTTGGTTTCTTGGCCGGTTGTTTGGCCTGTGTTTTGTTTTGTTTCTGATTCTAACCACAGGCCAAACAACTGTGTTCGGTGGCGCCATTGACAGATACTTGAATCTGCAGGTGCTTCGCTTGGAAGGGAAGCAGCAGCAGCCCTCCAGTGGTCAGCGCTGTTGCCCCGGGGCCAGCTCTCAGATTGGGAAGCAAGGAACCCGAGCGGATCCGGCACCCGGCACGGATGGATGTTGGGTTGTTCTGCGCGCGGGAATTCAGGAGTCGCCATCAAAGGGCTCACTTGCCATGGGCACAGCCAGCCCAACCCGATCTGCAGAAAAGATCCCAGACGGTCCTTGGGCAGGCAAGAAGCCAATCGGGCGTAGCGTAGGCCAATGCCGCCAACGCCAAAGCTGCCCTCGTGTGCAAAACCTGGAAGAATGGGTTTGGGGTTTGTCGGAAGATCTTCAGGTTTGATCCAAGCTATGTGCCATAGACCGATTCGTGGAGTCAACTTGGAGTTGTTGTTGATGTTTTTTGTCAGATCTGGATGCTAGGGGCAGGGTACTCCGTGAGTGGTTAGCAAGCCTGGTGATAACCCACTCACCATGGCTATAAGTTTTCATGGGTTGTAGCCAAGCTTACTAGCCACTTGCTAAATACCCGATCGCCCCTTGGAACTTAGACGCGAAAGTGTATCATGATTCATGGTCATGGCCTCAGCCATCTGGCTTAGAACTCATGAGACTCCGGATAGCGTGCCTCGGCAGCGATGGCGAGAGAGCGGTTTGGGCAAAAAAACTGGACGTCTCTTGGGGGGCGAGGCATTTTTCCAAGGAAGTCTAGAAGGACCACCAGGGGGTTGCGAGCGGGACTTGGCTTTGTGTGTGTCTCAAAGTCTTTGGGGATTGGGAGTTGCAAGAAGCATCAGCTTGCTGCTTTCCAGTGTGTAGTCGGCATATGTCACAATGAAGGACCTGTTGGGGGTTGAGATTTCCTCAGCGAGTCAACCTAAAAGCGCCGTTGCAATATTCCCTGGTATCGACCGCCATTTCGCTGTGCCCTAGGGTCACCAGAAGAAGAAATTATATGGCCCGAATCTCCATCAACCTGACAACACGTTATTTGCGTTGCCACGTTCGCGTTCGTATCGGATGCTGTGCTCCAAGACCCCTCGGGGGTAGTTGATTTACCCGGGTTTTGCAGAGAACCAGAAGTTCGGATCCCTTTAAGGAAAGCAAGCAGGTTGATTTGTGCCCTACCGAAGACCATTTCGCAAGGAACTGGAACACCGAAGACTTCATCAAGAGGCTGTGACGCTCCTTGTCTGCCACACCCACAGGTCGCTTGAACACCCCCAGAAGGCATGGGATTCATTGGGGCTCCAGCCCAAACCGAACAAGGGGCTTTGAGGGCCCGCCAGGTTTTTTTTTAGGGAGTTGACGCAGACCTCACCGCCTTGTTTGCAAAGCAGGGGTCCAAGGGTGAGAGCCACGCAAGAAACGGGAACTGGCCAAACAGCCCATGTTCTGTGTTGTTTTTTTGGGGAACACCTGTCGAGCACTTCCGGTTTCGACTTGGCCAAAGGAACTGCCAGACTCTGGTTGATCATTTTGGAGTGGCAAAGGACTCGCTCAGTTCCCCAAGAAAAGAACCAGGAGGACTCCGGGGAGCCAGGCAAAGTGTGTAGTTGATGCATGTCAGCAAACCGCAAGTGATCGCCTTAGGAGACGATCAAGTCGTTTGCGTTTTCCAAGCAGGTTGCTTCCTTTGGGTTTGGACCAAAGAAAGCGATCGGATGGTCGGAGATCGCCAGACGCGGTCGCTCGGAATGCCGAGGGGAAATCTCCCCCGGCGCAAGCTGCCGACGTACTGGAAGCGCAGCCCGGAGCTTTGGCTGCAGGCGGTTTGGTCGTTCTCTACAGCTCCCGGAGTTTGCTGGTTTGAGGCATCAACTTTTGGGTCAATTCCGATGATTTCCTCTTGGCGATGATGTGTTTGGGTGGAATACAGCAAGCCCTGTCACTTCGGTGTGTTTCCTTCCAGCTGCATCCTCAGGCTTGCGGATGCAGCTGGTGCGGATCCCAGCCGGGCCGGGCCAGTTTTGTGTGGAGAAAGGGCCCGCGTCACTTCCTGCAATTGTGCGACTGGAAGGTGCGGGTTTTTGTTGGATGGCGAAGCAAGGCAGGCTGGGTCGAGTGAGTGTTTGATTTGGGGTGAGTCTTGATTTACCCTCTCTCCTACTAACGTGGCACCTCACAGGGGGTCCCACCAAGAGCAAAATGAACTCCCAAGTGCCTCCCCACAGGTGCCATGTTAGTGGGAGGAAGGGTACGTTAAATTTCTCCCCAGTTCCAAGAGTTGGGCACTTGCCAATTTCCCGGCAAGGTCTCGGCCCGGTTCTCCAAAAGTGTCCTTGGAACCCAGTCCCTTGGCTTTCTGGTGGAAGTCTCTCGTCAGAAAAAGGTATCCAAGAAATTCCTTGGACATGGTTAGCTCACAGCTTGCTGGGATCCATTGACTCCTTCGCAGGGAACTGCTACGAGAATGTGACGGGTCCACTTCTTCTTTGCAGGAAACGGTTGGCCGCGAATCGCAAGATTCTTCTTGGGTGAAGCCAACCATGTCTCATGTCCAAGTTCCAAATTTCCCACATCACGGAAGCCGACTGGTTTGGGGTTTCGCCCCGGGGCTGCGGCTCAGTGGGCCACCGAAACGAGGTGCTGGCCTTCCTGCCGTTGGCCCTGGCGGACCTGCCGGCGCCCAGAGAGAAACAGCGGGCGCTGGGGGCGGGGAAACGAGTTCTCCACGTGGCCGCAACACGATTCATATTTCAGCCGGCCAGAGTCGTCATTTTGGGGATGACCTTTGCAAGTTTCATGACTCTGGGTGTGACCAGAAGAAAAGGCCAAAGGCCCTGTTTTTCATACTGGGATCAACCTTTTGCTCTAAGCCCCGTATTTTGCAACCACCTGCAGACGAGCCCTTGGCGAGAGACCTCGTATCGACGGGCCAAAAGAGTGCCCTTTTTTGCTCGTGGAACTTCACTGGGGTCTTGGTTTTGGGATGTTAGACCCCAGATTTGTGATTCAGCTGGCTGTCGTGTTGGTGGCGTTAAAAAGGCGCCTTAAAATTAGGTCCAGCATTGGGTGGCTTGGGTGCAAGGGAACTCTGCTCGAGTTTGAATTTGAGATGTTCCAGTTTTCAGGCCTACCCTTACATTCAGAATCAGAAGCACATGGGGAAGTGGTAGGCCTAGCTGAATTTCCGTGGGCGTTCTCCAGTGACTCGGGAGATGCTCGCGATTGGCTTCCACTCGTAGCCCCGGGTTTCCAGGAAGTGCGTCTTTGGACACCTGGTTCCAAGGAAAACGGGATAAGTTGGATGGTTTGGAAGGGAAACGAAGGGCAAACCACGCGACTTCCTGATTTGAAGGAACACACGGTTTAGAGTGTTCAAGGATATGATCCAGAGGGCATGTGTCAAAAAGAATCCACCCCCTCCAAGCACGTTGTTGGCTTCTTGTTGCTTTCGCTTCGAAACCGGGACATAGGAAACACACGTGGGTGCATGACATGACAGCAGTGCTTGGTCTTGGTGATAGTGGACCCCGGCAACCGCTCGGTTTCCTTTTGCTTTCCCCTTGCAAGGGGTCCTTTATTTTAGGAATGCAAGTAATATCCTATCCTTTCAAATCATGCTGAGCTCACCACGTCATGACGAAACGGGAGCTCACCCATGAAGCTCCTTGACTGACAGTTCCCCTTATATGGCTGTGGGTCAAAACCAGTGGTACCATTCTGGGATAGGGGCACCACCCATTTTAGTCTATTTGTGTGGGGATTGGGATGTTCACTGGGGGTACGGGATTTTAACCCATGGCCATATCCCATGGCGCCCAAAACCGATTCCGATTGTCAGGTTCACTGCTTGCGGCATCAGCTCACTGGCCGCTGGAACTTCTTCTTGGGGCCCGCCAGCCCCCAGACGCCCAGCCGAAATGGGGGGGGAGAGAAGAACAAACGGATCTACAGGTCCTCCAATGTGCCTTTTCGCGGGGATGTTTACGTTGTAGCATCTCCTTGTTGGCAATTGTTGGAGGGGATATGGACTCATGGTGGACCCCTGTCATCTACCTGGTTCCATAGAGATGAGAACAAGGCTGAGAGGTAACACTCGAAGCGCGAAAAGACCAAAGGGTCAAAGACCGGCATGAATCGTTCTCACGAGGCTTGCAAGTGAAAGCTGAAAGGGGCTGGTCACCTTATAACCACGTAGAAAAACAAACATGTTGCTCTCAAAACAACCATGGGCGGGGGGAAAAGCGATTGCTAACAGAGAAACCATGGGAAATAGCCATGGAGCAAAAAAAAAAGAACGATACTAGGGAGGTTGGGCACCCCAAGTCGCAGCTTAGGCGCTCGAGTTGCGGGCACCAGCAGCCGGACGACCCTTGGCGTCAGCCTCTGGTGGAGCTGGCCGGCGCAGCGCCGGAGCGCCGGGAGGCCACCGATAAAGGTCGAGGGACTGGGCGTGGTTCATCCCCACAGCCCTTAAAATGAGGGTGATCCCTGGAGATCTCCATGTCTAGATAAACAGGCGATGGTATAGAGTAGCGCGATGCTACTCGGACAGTTGGGGCGATTCAAATCGCCCAAGTACCACCGGCCAGTGCCATGGAGACCACAACAAGTCCAGCTATATGTCTAGAGAAATGGAATTGGGTCCCGAACCCCCCCCCTCCCCTTTACATTTAGAAGAGACCCTTGGGTTCCATGCAGAGAGGTGTGGCAAAAGGATCACGAAAGGGGGAATGACCGTCCATTTGCTTAAGAATGTGATTGATGTTTTTCTGGTTCGAAAGGAATCTATCACGGTTCGACTTGAATCAACATGATGCGCACCAAAAGATCCGGCCCATTTCACCAGATAACACAAGAAACAAAAGCACCCTGCGGACCCTGATGTGTGGGAAGTTTTTTGGTGATGTGTCCATGGAACAGGAAGCACGTGTTTCCACTATTTCATTTGGGGTCATGGCGAGTTTCTGGGTGTAGAGGACAAGGTGCTACAAACCTTGTTTTTGCTTGACTCAGTGGCCCATTTCGGACATAGATTGCAACTGACAAATCGCTGGTGACATCATGAACCACACGTGGGCTTTCCAGATCACTGCAGCTGAAAGGAGGGAGGACCAGCAAACCCCTAGCGACCAAAAGGTTTCAACTAAAACCATTCCTTTTTTTAAGAATGATCTAAAAGGGAAACCAGCTTTTGGGGCGGTTTGTTTTTGGCTACAGGCGTTCTTCACCCGGCCGCTTTTTCCGAAAATCCGGGGATGTTGTCAGGTGGAGCTGCAGGAGCCCAATGTAGCCGTCTCCGGGTCCTCGAAGGGGTCCTGGCGCCTCGGAGACGGCCTCCCCATGGGGCAAAAACGTGGACTGCTTGTGGGATGTCCGTTTTTGTGTGGCGTTTCCCAGAAACTCGGATCCTTTTGGGTGGTGTTTGTTTTTCCTTGTTGCTTTCGCTGAGCCATACTCCTGCCCAAACCAAATGCATGCCCTGATGTGGCACTGTTAAAACTATCCCCAAACATGCTCAGGGGCATATAGCTGGAACCCTTGACACCTGCTGAAAAGGGTGTGGATTTCCCCGTTTCTGGCCACCTCTCAAATTGGCGGCCCCCAGTTGGTGTGTGTGTGTGTGTGTTTGTTTGTTTTGAAATGTGGGGACAGATGGGTTGCTGCTGGTTTCCCCGGCAGACAACGTTTCTTCCCCACGCTAGGATACCCCCTCGATGTGGTTGTTTGCTTGCCTCGGGAAAATCACTTTTGCGCTGCCAGTTGTTTCAACGTCGACTGAGGAACATTCCGAGTTTTGGCTTTACGTCTTTTGTTCACTTCGAACTCACACAAAGAGGGGTCGTTTTCATGGTATGGTTGAGTCGTGTATTATGTCAGCCTTTGCTTTTAGGGTGCTGGCTGGCAAACTGAAATACCATGCGATTGCCCGCGCTTGCATTTTTGGCAAAGAACGTATGTGATGCTCTTGTGTCCAAAAATGGGACCTGCCCTCCCCCCAGAGATTGAATGGAAGACAGAAAGGCGTTAGTTCCTTTTGGTTTCTCTTGAACAAAACTGCTTGGGGTTTGGAAATTTGGATTTGGGTCTGTCTTGAAACCAAGGAACCCATTGATTGTTCAAGGTGTTCCTTGTCATTTCTCCTTCAAAATCAACCCAAAGGAGGTGCCCGCGGAAAAAGAAATGTGTCTCTCAAAATTAGACCCCCCAAAGTGGTCTTCTCTCTGACGCCCAACCCAAACACCCACCGGCCCCGCTGAAGCTGAACCCCCGAACCCGAGGACCATGATCTATGACGAGGCCTTCGAAGTAAAGCTCGGGGGCCTGTCCTTCCTGGCCTTCTCCAAATTCGAGCCACGTGGCGGCGGGCGGCGATTTTTGATGGTGAACCCCTTTTTGGGGTGGCTTCCGCAAAGGGAAACCATCATTTTGAGGAGGGTCCCTAACAAAAGATGCTGCATATATGCTGACGAAGCGTTGTTATGTTCTCCTCTTGGGTTTTAAAGGGAATCCATCACTACTAGAAATATGAATATGTTCATTGTGAATATGTTCATGTTTTTTCTGCTCTCGGGGGGGTGTTGGCTGTGGGTTTGTCGACATGGGCGTGTCTTTTCGTTTTGTTCTTAAAAATGCCCCGAAAAGAGTAGCCTCAAAACGACACGCCCCCGGTTCCCGGTTGCAAGTCGCCACATGGTTGGAAGGGAGCTGGTTTTGCCAGAGATGTTTGTCTCCAGTTGTCACTGAACGTTCACGGAATCTCGACATGAGTGAAACCCCAAAACGAGTTTCACCTTGGTTTCCTTCTTCAAGCTCACAAGGGAGCCCTTGAAAAGAAAGCCTCACAGTTCGCTTGGCACGGGCCTGCGCCTCTAACTTTTCAAGGGAAAGAGAGCATTTTCGGAAGCTCGGGAGTTGTCAACCCTCCGCTGTGGAGCTCGGGCACAAATGAACTCAACAGATCCGTGTGTGTTTTCTATTTTCCACAATCCCCCCCCCCCCGTGGTGAGGTTGTGATTGAATCATAGTTTGAGATCTCCTCAAATGAGCAGAGGGTCATTGGATCACGGGCAATAAAGCTGTCTCAAAGGGGGGGAACCGCAAAACCCTAGCTTGCTTGTCAAAGTGAAAACAGATGAAGAAACACTTGGGGGAATCTGATGCATTAGACACGCCCAAATTGTCATAGCTTCAGCCGTGCTTGAGGGCCGCTTTTGCCCAAATTTCCCAAAGATTGCTCCCCCACCGTTTTCACCCATCATTCTATTGAGCAACCACACCAATCCACTCCCCCCCCTTGTTGCAATCAATTGTCCCAAAAGAAGGATGCCTGGAGAAGCGAGGGAGGGTTGGAGGTTCCATTTCAAGACAGAGCGCACGTTCGAAAAGGACGGCAAGACTGGAGCGATGGATTTATCTCAAAATAGGTGAAGCCCCAAAATGGGTGGTTTCACTTTGGTTTCTCCTGCAACCCCAAACACCTGGCACCCTTCAAAAGAAGCTTGCAGCACGGCTAGGCTCTTGCAGGCGGAGGGCGTGTCGAAGAACGTGTCCCGCTGCGGCCAGACGCAGCTGGGATGGTACCGGGACGAGAAAGGCGAGAACTGGGGCTGCTTTTACGCCCGAAAGCTGGGCGAGGCGGGTTTCGGGGTTTGGGGGTTTGCGGGTTGGAAGATCTGGGGCCTGAGGTCAGAAAGGACATGGAAGGTTCCCAGAAAAGGGTTTGTGTGGAAATGGACATCCATGTGCTTCCCCCCTGAAAGCAGCCAACAAGGTATCCTCCAAAAATCACACGAAATCATCGACTTCGATATGATTGGTCGATTCTTTCCTGAGGCCAACAAGGCAGGCCGATGGAATACCGCTGTGGCAGGGAGACACCCGGAAGAGCGTAAGAAACTGTCGCAAAATCTGATCAACTTGGGCGCTCTGGTGCACTCTGGCTTGTTTGGTTGGTTGACCACTGAAGGGCCTGGGCTTGTCTCAATAGGAACTGGCCGGTGTCCTATCAAACCAACCAGCTGGTGTTCCCAAGTTTTTGGACAAACCCGCTTGGGCTTGCCTCCAAAGGGGGGATCCGCCCACCCACTCCCTCAGCACATGTGCTTTTTACTTGGTTGCACCCGTCTTTTCCACCTGGTGTCCTTTCCATCCGACCGGAACGTGGCGGGTTTTTCCCCACGGCTCCGCGCAGGATGCCGCCGTCGCCACCCCCAACCGCGCGCGCTCGGGCGCGGACGACGGATCGCAAGCCGCGCGCGAGCCTTTGGACGCCACGTACCACAGCGCCTTCGCGGCGACCCTGACGCTTGCTCAGATCGCCCCCAACAACATGGGAACCCCCCAAAATGCAAAAAAAAACAGAGAAATGAAGAAGAAACACCTTTTTAAGGTGGACACATGTTGAGGGGTTCTGAAATTGCCTGCGGGGATGATTGCCCTTCAAACCACTAGAGGGCAAGCTTGGCCGTCCTTTTTTTGTAGGGTGTCATCCTGTGCTGATCTGCTGAACGGAGGCTAAATATAAAATGGCAACCGAAACAGAGCTGTGCATTCCTTTCAGGGCTATTGAGAGGGTTGGGCAAGATTGGTTTCAACCATGCCCTGGTCCCCCCCTCAGAAGCCAAAACGATGTTTAAACAAACATGGCTTCGCGCCTCCATATGCGGGACCCCAAAATGCTGAGTTTCCCCGTTGGCTGGCCCGGAAAAGCGGGCTCTAGTGAACGCATTGGTTTCGCTGGTCGAAGCCACCAGCTCGCTTTTGCGGGGGGGGGGCCGCTTCGGGGTAGCTTCAGTTCCGTGGAAAGTGCAGTGGGTCCTTGCGCCCAGGAACCTCATCCAGGATTTCTGGCAGGCACGCTTCTGGAAGTCAGATCGCAGACAAGAATTGAAAGCCGGAAAAGGTCCGTTGATGCCAGCCGGAAGTTCTTGTCTCTGATCCCCGCTCATTGTGGAAAATCGCTGGTTTCAGGCTGCCGCTTTGCTTGAGCCAATGGCATCATAGAAAGGCCCATCTTCTGTGTCCAGAAACTTTGGCGCACATATTTGGGGATCACCAACAAGGCCCAGAGAAACCAGGCCGCAAACAATGTGGTGGGAACATCTGCTGGTTGGCGTGATATTGGGGTTGCGGGCAGAATCCCATTCCTTTCAACGGACCTCGTTTGGGGCCGTTTTTTGTTGGCCCAAAACGGTTGGCGGTTCGCTTGCAGCACCAGACACCAGGGTTTTCAGGGCCGACCAACGGAGCGGCCCCCAACCACAGAGGGCCCACCGATAGGCCAAGGCCTACGACCGCTTCGTGAACCTCACGCTGCGGGAGCTCAACGCCATGGCCGGCATCTTTCGGCCTGCGCGCCCGCGGCAGGCGAAGCGGCGTGGGCGGGGTGGGTGGGGGGGAGGTTCCACCGGGTTTGATGGGGAAGGCTTCGAAGTCGTTGACTTCGGATTTACTTATTCCTCTGGTTCATAAATAGGTGTGTGTCCGTGTGCGCCTGGGATCCTTCTGGTCGGAAGCTGGGGTCTTAGTTGTATTCTGTTCAGGGCAAAGGGGAATGGGAATCCTATGAATTGAAGGTGATCCTACCTGGTTTCGTGTTTCATGAGAAGACCTATTGGCCACTTGGCTGAATTCTATCAGGGCTCCCTCAAAATGGTTGGACCACTCTCTGTTTGTGAATTGCACCATCCAATAATCATAGAAGTGGGGCTTTTCAAGAGGACTGTTTGAGCCCTCCTGTCAGCTTGTTAACAGGGTACCTTGTTTCATAGGAATATGAGTTTCAGCAGGGAACCTCAAAAAGTGTTGCGCATGCAGATGGGTCTCAGGACAGACCAGCTTAGCACCGGCATTTCAAGCAAGGGCCGCAGTTGACCTCGGCCGGATCAAGCCTTTTCTCATACAGACCAGCCACTGGAAATCCACAGGCAAGTTCTAAAAAATAGCCTCCAACACAGCTTTGGGCCAACTTCCCGCAGATAGTCCCGCTCCTTGAGATGTTGCCCTTGGGGTTTGGACCTGTCCGAATTTTTGCGAGGCAGAAGTCGGCCGGGCGGGTTCTGCGCCCGTCAGCTTCCTGCAGTCCCGGCGCACGCGGTCGCGGGCTCTGCCCGAGAGCTGGGACTGGCGCAACGTGTCCGGAGTGCCGCTCGACGCGATGTGGTGGAAGTGCCATGGGTTGTTTTGTCTAGGTCCCCCAGCTAGGTGCAACCTTTCTCACCCTTTTTCGGGGGGAGGGTTCCCCTACTAAGATAGTCAACAGAAAAAACAATCGGGTACCCTTATTCTAGCCTCTCCACTCAAAGACCTAGTTGTGGAAAGCACTCCGTTTAGGTTCGGTTTCAAGGGAAGCCAAACAAAAACACCACAGTCGCCAATACTCACGAATGCCACTGTGGATTAACCCCTGCACCAGTCGGTACGTGGTTTGTCCACTGGGCTCCCCTTCCAAGAGCTTCAAATCGGAAGGAGCTTCCTGGACCCAGTCATCGACCAGGGCAGCTGTGGGTCCTGCTACATGGTGGCCACCACCCACATGCTGGCAGCCAGATACCGCATCAAGCACCGGAGCCCTGACTTCCCAGGCGATGCCAACGGCTTAAATTGGAAGGAGCCCGGCTGGCCGTAAAACGAGCCAACCCATCATTCACTGGAGGGGGGTTGGGAATAGTAGTCACTTGGTGAGAAAAAAGTGTGGCTGGACGTAAATCTCCACGGAATTGATGTTTGCTAAGGGGTCCCAACTTGAAAATTAGCAGCAACCGACGCCAATTCCTCTAAGCTTTTCTGGTAGGATGAGACATGCACATTTGAGGTGCAAGGCTATTACCCCTTACAAGAAAACATATTTGGAGGTTGTGCTGGGGATCCAACCCAAAGACAATCTTGCCGTGTGGGTATCCGTTGTTGATCGGCACAAGGCCATGGCCTTGGCAACCATTGTGACTTGGGAAACCGCTGATGGCAGTCTACCTTGTTTTGGTCTTTGATCTGTGGAGGCATGGGCGCAAGTTCGGGACTGGACAGACTTCGCCCGCGAGGCTTCTCTTTCAGTTTCCCCCTCTTCTGCTCCGAGTACAACCAGGGCTGTGATGGCGGCTATGCTTTTCTCGCGGCCCGCTGGGC